GTGTGTGTGTGTGTGTGTGTGTGTATGGGTGTGTGTCTGTGTGTGTGTATGGGTGTGTGTATGGTTGTGTGTGTATGTGTGTGTGTGTGTGTGTGTGTATGGGTGTGCTTAGGTTGGGGGTGGGGCCGGGAGGCCCAAGGTCAGTTAAATAGAAGAGGTTTTTCTGTTGCCTTGCTGTTCCAAGTCAGATTTATGGAGATATAAATTATCTGCAATAATTTCCTCTCATTTTCAAATTCCATGAGTTTTAACCAATGCATATAGTTGTCTAGCCAACGTCAGAGTCAAAGCACAGCATAATTTCATGAAAAGAAAGCTTCTTTTTCATTCTTTGTAGTCAATGCCTCTCCTATCCCAAGAGCCTGGTAGCCAGTGCTGTATTTTTTTTCTTTTGAACAGTGCCATAAGTGGAATGAATCACAGAATCATGTTTTAGAATTATTTCCTTTTGTTGATTTGAATATTAAGGCAACTCCACGTAGTTAGAAGGGAGATTTATTTTGTGGGGTAACTTACAAGTGAAGGGATGGGTAACAGGGTCTGGGAAAGGTGTAGTGCAGTCCAACGGTGTTCTCTGAAGAACTCTGCTCGGTTTACCTCCAGCGTCCAGGATCCAGGAACCAAGAGAGCGGGCACATCCAGATCTCAGGTCTTAAGGGCTCCTGTCTCAGCTCCACCTTGTAGGCGTGACAGTTACTGGAAGCCTCAATGAGGGTAGTACTTCCAGGTCAAAGTTGGAATAGCTACCCACTACATCCTTTACTTATAATTCACTGGAAACTCAAGTCAACAGATTTTTTTTTTTTAATTGCTGAAGATGAGTTAACTGTATGGATTTTCTAGGGCTTTGACCAATCCATGGACATGTGAGTTGTTTCCAGGGTTAGGTGACCGAGAATAAAATTTTATGCATATTACTTTATGGCAATTTCAGTGAACATGGGTTGGGAAGTAGTTTTACTTGACGGGAGGGTGGTAGAAATGGTCCAGGAAGACAGACAAATAGTCTCAGCTTAAGCAGTGTGCCTACCCTTGTTATATTCTGATTGTTGGTGATTTAAAGACTGTTGCTGCAGGATTCCTAAAAATCAATTCTTTTAGAGTCAGTTTTACTAACAAGAGACATGAAGTTAGCAACTTAGATCAGCTTGCTCACGTAGACATAGAGATTGCCTTGAGGAGGCAGAAAATCGCCAGGATGAAGTAGACAGATAAACAAGATCTCATGGAAACTCAGAGCAATCCTTGGTCTTTTCTCCACTCATCTTCATGGTGGTCAGTCAAGAAGATTAGAGCTGGGCAGCAAAACATCCCGACCCCCAAAGCGACCACCAAGAACTGAAGATGAACTTTGGCATCACCAAAGAGCTCAGGTGTGAAACATCCTCTAGAGTCCATTTAATGCATCTTAAATGGGTTGTCATCTGAGTATCAGTTCATTGGAGAAAGGAAACTTGTGTTTTTCTGGGGGAGGTTCTGTCTGTAGGTTGTTGAATTAAAGATTCTGTCAGGAGCTTCTGAGAGTTGAATCCCATATGGCACTGCACGGGTTATCCAAACAGAATCAAGTTTGCCCTGACGCCATCTCTTGTGAATGGGTTTCCTGGGAATGTGACGATAGAATGGCGTGTAGAAACCCATTCTTCACAGAGCACTTTGAGTTCCCACTGTACTCAAAGTAGCGGAACATCACACTACCCTATTAACCGCAAATGCCAGGGTCCTGCCTGGGTGACCACTCTACGGGCAGAACCTAACAAACACTCTATTCCTAACTTTTCATATTCCCGGGGTGGGAGAGAAACTGAAAATCTTAAATTTATTATTTTTAATTAAAATATTACATCCTCCTCCCCACTTCCACCTTCAAAGATGAAGTTTTTGAGGTTTGTTTGAACCAATAAGAGTGACGGACTATTTTGGATAAAAGAAACTGAAAATAGAGTCCAGCCAGTTCTCCAGCACAGTCCCTCCCATGGTTACTATTTGTCCACCCCCTCAATGCCTGCATATTTCAGGTATTCTATCGTGGCCGAATTACTTCCTCAGCTTCCACTCAAACCTCGTCTTCTCTCTCAAGCCCTTCTTGATCAGAGACTTTTAAAAAGTCCCTCCTGTGGCCCTGTATGTCACCTCCACCTCTGCCGGAGCGTTTGTCAAAACAGACTGTCACTTGCTCTTGTTGTTTCCTGTACTTGTGTTTGCTTGAGATCAATAATTCTGCTGTCTTCATTCCCCGTAACTTCATTTCTTTAAACAGTGCCTAGCTTGTACCAGGTACCCAATAAACATTTTTTAGCTGACAGTGACTCACTAGCTCCTGAAGCAGTCTGTCCCGTTTGTCATTTGTAAACTGTTCTCACAGAGGTGGCGGCACTGTCTCCTTCCTCCTCCTCCTCCTCTCCTCCTCTTCCTCCTCCTTCCCCTTCCCCTTCTCCTCATATTTCTTCTCCTTCTCCTTCTTCTATTTCTTCTTCTTCTCTTTTTCCTATTCTTCCTCCTCCTTCCTCCTTTTTCTTTTCCTTCCTTTCTTTCTTTTTTTCTTCCTTCCTTCCTTTCCCTTCTTCTTCTTCTTCTTCTTCTTCTTCTTCTTCTTCTTCTTCTTCTTCTTCTTCTTCTTCTTCTTCTTCTTCTTCTTCTTCTTCTTCTTCTTCTTCTTCTTCTTCTGACAGTTGGTCTTGAATTTACTGTAGACAAGTACAAAAATAAAATCTTGACCCTGCAGATTCCATCTCTTAACAGCTGGGATGTTGGTGTGTTCCACCACATTGAATTGAAAAGTCTTCTTTGTAGTAAATCAAACCAGGTCTTAATGATGCTTCGCCGGCCACTCTTCGTGTTAGTAATTGGGACCTCCACAGGTCTCCACACCCATATTCAACCTGCACATTTGGAAAAAGCTGTCATGGGCATATTTGAATCATCTAATTTCCCAGTGAATTCTGCCTGTTTCTCTACTTTGTCTGAATTAATATTTATTTTATCTATGTAATTAAGGCAAGAGAAGCCACATGAAAAATGTCATCAGGAATATGATAATTAACATAACAAACTGGAATTGGGAGGTCTGTCATGAATCATCCACAGTGATTTCACTAAATGATTTTTATTGATGGTTTCTTAACTTTTCTTTACCTAAGGGACGGGCGTACAACTTGTGATTTTGAGGCACTTGGTGGGAGATTTTTAACTGCATGAGGCCTCTTCCAGGGATCACAGGTGTGTATCTTTTGAAGCTGGAACTTCTTGCCGGCTTAACAATGGCCTAATGAACAAGACCTGTGTGAGGCGCAGGGCGAGAGGCTCTCAACTCTGGCTTCATACTTTCATACTGACAACGCACCAGGCAACGTAGACGACTCAGCAAACAGTAACTACAACAAACAACACAAGCTTGCTTGACTTCACGGATCGGGTTTCCCAGGCCGAAGCAACACCAACAACAAACCTCTTCTAGGTGCACATTTCAAGACATTCCCCAACTAAGGCTATTTCACTTCAAAACTGGTTGATCACTTATCCAAAAAAAAAAAAAACCCTACCATGGCCACCCCAGGTTCAGTTCCTCAGCAAAAAGCTGAGGGTGTTGAGTTTGCTCTGAAAACTGATACTCCCTCCACAGGCCAGAATTCCTATCTGGACATCTGATTATTCACACGGCATAACAGAGAAATAAACAAGATGACAAGATGCCAGCACACACTGGAAACGCTGCTCCCTCTGTCTGAGACAGTCACGAAGGATGGTCCGGGACAAAACACTGGAGTCCACTTCAGTAGTGTTGTGTAGACACGATACCCATAAAGATGAGCAACCAGAATAGTTTCCATAATGAAAAAAGTCACCAGCAAATAAGCAACAGAGTCTCTTTCCATTTTACTACAGGTATTTGGTTTTGTGATTTGGCTGAAATCTTACTACGAATCTCACAAAGTCCCTATGGCCACCAAATATTGGCACAAAGAGAAACATGAATGAAGAGATACAGGGTCTGTGGACTCACACACACTTAAGGAAGAGGAAGATGCTGATCCCTTGAAAAGGGCACGGACTCCAGAGCGACAGGAGAAACTCATTCTAGAGCTGGCTTAGGCTCTGTTTACTCATCCAATATTTACTGAGCAAGGCAAACACAACCCCTCAGAGCTCACAGACCGAATGCTGTCACCATGGGGCTGCGAACAGTCACTTCTCCTTTCTAGGCGATGTTTCACTATGAGCAAAGTGGCGGCTGTACTTTCACTAGTCCAGAATGCAGTCGCTTACCACCTTCTCTCTTTGCAGATGAACTTAAAAAAGGGGAAATGAGAGATGGACTGAGATTGAATCCACTTGTCTCAAAATCCTGGATTGGGCAATCCGCCCTGACCCATAGGGAGAACCGAGTCTTCCTTTCATTCCAATGATCGTGTTGACAAGTAGGATCAAGGTGGGTGGAGTACTTTGTTGTTACTGAAATGACCAGGCAAGCCGTACTAAAATGTTATCAAATGGTTGTTTCTGCCTCCAGTTATTAATACATGTAGATCCCGATAAGATTGCCCCCGATTCCAGCACTTGCTCTTTATTCTGACCTCCTAGTTCCACGTCACGTGTGTTCTCACCACCCTTTCCCTTAAGGACTCTTCCCCCCACTCATGTGCCCCTTTAGAAAACTCAGAAGCTACACATCTGAGAAAGAACTACAGTATTTGTCTTCCTGAACTGGGTTAACTTACTTAATACTTTCCAGCTCCATTCAACTTCCCACAAATTTAACAAGTTTCGATTTCTTTTTTTTTTAAGATTTACTTATTTTTTATTTTGTGTGCATGAGTATTTTGCCTGTCTATATGTATGTGTACCACAATCATGCCCACTGCCTGAAGAGGTCAGAAGAGGGTGTCAAATCCCCTGAACTAGAGTTACACATGTTTTTATTTTATTTTATTATTTTATTTTATTTTTTCAGAGGTGAGGACCGAATCCAGGGCCTTGAGCTTGCTAGGCAAGCGCTCTACCACTGAGCTAAATCCCCAACCCCAAGTTACACATGGGTTTAAACCATTGTGTGCATTCTAGGTCCTCCACAAGTTCTCTTGTATGTACGTTGTGTGTCTATACTATGCATATACATTAAAATATACAGACCATGCTTGATGAACATCTAGATTGATTCCATTTCTTTCCTGGTTTTTGCTCTCTGCTCTCTATCTCTGTCTCTGTCTCTGCCTCTCTCTCTTTCTGTGCATACTGGGGATTGATCTCAAAGCTTTGTATGTTCTAGACAAGCACTCTACCAATGAACTATGCTCCAGCCTTAACCACAAATCTTAAATGTAGTCCTAGTCTCTTTTGTTTCAAAACGATTCTGGATATACTGCTGTCTTTCCCCGTTAACCCAAGGAAGACTTGCTTTACACAGAAAAAGCATGTATTTAGGCCACAGTTCACAGCTCTGGATGTTCAAATATCTATATATGACTGGAAACTTCTTGCTGCAAGAGCCTCAAGGCAGAGAGAGGGAGGGAAATAGAGGGGGAGGGAGGGGGAGAGAGAGAGAGAGAGAGAGAGAGAGAGAGAGAGAGAGAATACCTTCTTACAATGCCACTGCTATTCACTCACAGGGACTCCACCCTGGGGATCTGATCTAAGTCTAACCATCTCTCAGAGGCCTCACCACTAAACAGGACAGTCAGGCTAAGAGTCCGCCCTCTGAAAACTTCAAAATGGAGATTAAACACTGACGGAGAAACTGAGAATTGACACATTCAACACACATCCAAACTGGACCAATTTCCCTGAATAAAACTGGTTGGAATTTGCTGGTTGGAAAGGATGACTGGAGGGACATCCCTAGCACAGAACACAACATAAGCAATGGCTGAAGGGAGAAACACATATGCTATGTTCAGGAGATGGCAGCCAGTTTGCTTGGAATGGAGGCGATTCAGGAGAGAGGGACACATGATTTGGGAAGAAGATGGGTTAACATTGCTTGAGACCTTGACTGTTGAGTTAGGGACCTGTTTTTGCTTGTTTGTATTAAATTGTGTAGTTTAAGGCCAGGAGATGTTATAGAAAGATTGTTCTGGATATTTTGTCCAGCGTGGGTTTATATATATATATTATGCACAGGTCCGTGGCCAGAAGAAAGTTCATACACTCAGCTACCCAAAGACAAAATGGGCTCCACTTTCCACACTTGCTCCAGTTCAGTGTGTGTGTGTGTGTGTGTGTGTGTGTGTGTGTGTGTGTGTGTGTGTGTGTGTAGGAGTAAGGGTGTGGCTTCAGCCCATGCTTCTTGTTTTGTGTTGAGAAGCATGAGTTCACACTCTGTGTAAATGGACTCCCAGAAGCAAATCCTCTGCTCCACTGAGAGTGGCATCATGCTGGATGCTGCTATCTGAGTCCTGGGCTCCTGGTGGGAAGGCAAAGCCAGCATCAGCTATGAGGGGAGCCCTTCCCTGCCTGACCTCAATGTTGCTTCCGTGTCTCCAACATTCCACTTGGAAAGTAATTTCGTTAATCAAAAGGAAGAAAAGGGCCAGAACTAGCCAGGTGGTTTCAATGATACAGGATTGTACAACAGGTTCGTTCCAAGAGAAAGCTCGCATAATCTGCTGCACTGTAAATAACAATGGAACAGATACAATTTTTTAAAAAAATATTTTTGTCTGTTTTGAGGTTATAATATAATTGCATCATTTCTCCCTTCCCTTTCCTACCTCCAGACCCTCCTATATATAACCCCTCTTGTTCTTTTTCAGATTCATGTCCTCTTTTTTCATTAATTACTGTTACATATAGATGTATTTACGTATTATATACATCCCTAAATGCATAAGTACAACCTGCTCAGTCCGCATAATATTGCTTGTATGTTTACTTTCAGGGCCGATACTTGGGTATTGGCTAACTCAGTGGTGTGCTCTTCCCTGGGAAAGACTTTGTCTTTTCTCCTGCATTCCCGGTTGTCTTTAGCTCTTTGCAAGGCCTTCTGGGCTTCCTTCCATCCACTTTGGCATGCTGTTTGTTGTTTTTGTTTAGCCCATGCTTAGACGGTCATGTTGGTGAGATCTTTAATGGGTGTAGTTTTATTTTATTTTATTTCATGGGTGTAATTTCTGACATTCCTAGGAGACACAGACTCACAGCAAACTGCCTGTTCTCTGGCTCTTACATTCTTTCCACTTACCTGCTCTTCTGCAGTGATCCCTGAGGCTTGGGTCCTGGACTGTTCTGTGGATGTGTCTGTCCTTTGGGACCTGGGTCCACAACTCTACGTGTTGATTGATTACAGTTTTCTGTAATGGTCTTCTTCTGTTGCAAAGAGAAGTTTCCCTGTTGAGGACACTTACTTGTGGGTATAGGGACCAGTATTTAGAGTGTAGTTAAGGATTATGCTGATATAGTAAAGTGGTGTTGATACATTCTCCTCCAGGATCCACAGCTTCATGACAGCCCTGGGTAGCTGGCTAGGTTTCTAGTACCAGGCATGTTTTCCCTCTTGTTGAGCAGGGGACAGATAAAATTTAAACTCTGTATTATAAAACAATTTCAGGACTATAAAAGAGTTGTAAATATAGATTATTTGTGAGTGTTCTCTCAGCATTTAGTAAAACCAGGAGCTGGGAAATTAAAGTTGATAAAATATTAATGTTAATCTATAAGCCTTCTAGAGATATCATCATTTGACCCACTAAAGAACCTTCTCCCTGCCAGCATGCTGACAGTAGTTTCCAGAGGTGCTGATGGGGCAGATCTGCCTAACATTATTCCTTTTCTTTTTCATGGAGCAGTATCATTGTTGATTAATAGCATTTTGTAATATTTATTGCATAAAAGAGGAGATGTCCTCTTTGTATCATTTCTGTTAAAATCAAAAAACACTGCTTTAACTAATTCCCTATTGGTGGACGTTTCAACTGTTTGCAGGGTCTCACATTCAAGCATCCTACAGTAAGGAAATGTCTATACCCATCTTGTCATCAACATGTGGTTATTTCTGTGGATAAAATCAGAGAAACAGAAGAGGTCTTAGAAAGGTACGTAACTGAAATACTGCACTGCCCCAGCTACCCCAATAATCATTGTGAGGATCATTCCGGTTCTTGTAGCTTAGATAAATATTTATTCCCAACTGAGCAGTTTCTAGGATTCAGGAGCTGTACACAAATATGGAAAGGCATAACCCTCCCCTCCCCCCAGCTTTCTGTGTTTTTAATTGCTGTGGCTCTGAGAACAACTTCCCTCCTCCATGTCGGGGAGACATTACAAGTTTGAACAGACTCTGGGCCTTATGCAAATCTCTTATCATTTGGGAGCCAAGGAGCCATTTCTCTGGCTGAGGAGGTAACTGAGTTGCTAGAGTTCTTGTCTAGTGTTCTTGAAGCCCTTGGGTCAGCCCCTGTACCACATACACCAAGTGTGGTGCCTTGTACCTGCACTCCCAGAACTTGGGGATAGGGACAGGAGGATCAGATGCTCAAAGCCATCCTTGGTCAGATACAGTGAGGGAGAAAACTTTTTTCTACCAGACACACTACAAGGGAAAACAAAGTAGCTATCTAACCAGAGGCAACAGGAAGTCAACCACAAAGCAACTGCAGGTATCCAAGAGTAATTTTGAAAACAGATTTATAGCTACTCTTTCTCATAAAAGCATGTGTTTTGTTGTGATATAGTCAATGATGTGAGGAGGCCATTTTGTGGACAGCCCGAGCATGATGGAAAGCCTTTATGTGGCAGCAACTGAAGCTCAAATCCTTCCCTTGATGAACATCTGTATGATGCTGGCTGCCACACATGTCTTCCTGTTAAAGATCAAGAAATAAAAGATGTAAACACATCTGGTAAACACTGAAGTCCTGTGCAAATGAGATATTACTTATTTGACTATGAGATTTTAGAATGAATTGATAGAATAAGTTTTCTATGAACCAACAGGCAAATACCTGAGCAGGGATAGTCAGGGTTTTTGTTTGTCTGTTTGTTTTGTTTTTGTTTTTTAGTAATGTGAGTAGAAAAATGATTCAAGGGAGAAAATAAACTTGGACTTAACAACATGGTGTAACACTGCTGTGGATTACAGTCATTGTTAATAATAAAGCTGACTGACCAATAAGCTGGGCAGGAAGAGATTGAGTGCAAGAGCCAGACTAATTCTGGGAAGAGGAAGGGCAGAGTCAGAGAGTTTCCGTCAAACTCAGAGAAGCAAGATGAGAATGCCATACTTATCTATGTTAGGGGTTAATTTAAGTGTAAGAGTTAGCTAGTAACAAGCCTGGACTATTGGCTGAGCATTTATAGTTAACATAAGCCTCTGTGTGGTAATTTGAGAAGCGGCTGACAGGTATTTGGGAATAAGCAGTTGGGACAGGAAACATCTGATTACATAACATTACCAGGCCCAGGCTTTGACGCTGCCTTGCCACGGGTATGAACTTGGTCAAGACAATCTAGACCAATGTCTGTTTCCTCATTGGGAAAGAGTCATTGTAAGGGTTGAGTGAGATGGCATATGGGTGGAATCTGGCATGGTGCCTGGCACACTGTAGGTTCTAAAAGCATGTTAATCTCTCCTCCTTCCACTCTCCTTCCAGGGGTTTCTAGAAATAGCCTTGTGGTAGTTTGAATGCATTTGGCCCCATGAACACATAGGGAGTGGCACTATTAGGAGGTGTAGCCTTGTTGGAGGAAGTTCGGTCTTGTTGGAGGAGGCTGGATGACACACACCTTTAATTCAGACCTTGAAGCTAGAGGGTACACCTTTAATCAGGCCCACAACTTCTGTTGGAAGTGAGTCACCATGTGGGTGGGCATTGAGGTCTTTTTCTCAAGCATCCCTCAGTGTGACAATCAGTTGACTTCCTGTTACCTCTGAGTCAAGATGTCAGACTCTCCGCTCCATCACTGCATCTGCCTGCATGCCGCCATGATCCCCACCGGGATGGACTGAACCTCTGAAACTGTAAGTAAGCCATCTCAGTTAAATGTTTTCATTATTTAAGATTTGCTGTGGTCATGGTGTCTCTTCACAGCAATAAAGACCCAAACTAAGATAAGCCTACAGAAAGCTCTAAGTAGCCTATCATTCTGTCCATTGCTTGGCATCCAAATATAACAGGGCTTTTTTTGATGGTTGCTCTAAATTTGTTTTTTTATTTTTGTTCTTTTTTCCCCCTATGAAGCACACTGTATTCAGCTGTTTTATTTTATAATAGGTATAGCAATGCCTTGTTTGATGGGCAGTTGGATTTAATGGTCTCTAACAAGGGATTAATTTGAGGCCTCAAGACAAGAGCCTTTGGTCTTAGGAGTTCAGATACTGCAGCAGGATCCTTATTAGAATGCTCCCCAACCAGAATCCTTCAGGAGCAGGTATCATATACATGTAGTATATGATTGGTACAGAACATTCCAGTTTCCAGAGTGCTTTCACATCCATTATCTGTTTGAGTGACTTGGACATGTATATCTAAAGAGAAATTGTAGATCCATAAAACAAAGGCTGTTCTAGGGCTGTAAGGCCAGGCAGCAGACAGTACTGGAACAGACTGAACCTGGAACATCAAATAAGTTGTGTTCATTGCTCAGAGTTCCTAGACTCAGCTTCTATTGACACTTGAAAAACTATACCCAGACTCAGAAACACAAAATAATTTTACCAGGAGCATGGATTCTTTGTGCCAGGAATTCAAAAGCCCAGAAAAAGAGTCAGTTTGCTTTTACTTCAGGATGCTTGGGCCTCGGCTGGAAGATGCTCAGAGGTAGATTAGAATCACCTAGAAGCATGTTCAGTCCAGAAGTTCATACTGCCTCTCTGCTCAGAATAGAGAACTGGTTAGTCACCTCTCCCTCTCCTTGACTTTCCTTGCAGCATGGTGGCATTGGGGTACGATACTCCTGGCACATAATGACGGCTCAACCTTCTAAGTCCCTACCTCGAAAGGCAGGAGATAGGTGACCTTTCTTGACCTGGCGCTGAGGTCCTGTCCTTTGTATTCTTTGTTGTATACTGTACTGATGGAGTTCTGCCTTTGCTTGCGGGGTGCCGGGGATGTAAATCCTACTCCCTCAGAGGAAGAAAACTAAGAGATGGCAAGTCCGTTCAGTGGACTACGTCCTCCAGAAGTTCACATGTTGGGACTTTAATTGCCAATATAACAGTCCTGAAAGATGGGCCTTTAGGAGGGGATTTGGTTGGAGGGAGAGCCCTAAGGAGTGGCCCAGTCCCATTGCTGCAGAAGCAGGCCCGTCCTCAGAGTGAGCTGTTCGAAGTCAGCTCAGCTGGCTCTCACAGCCTGTTTTATACACATTTGGGTTTTACATTCTGCCATGTTGTGATGCAGTGTCAAAGCCCTCTGCATATGCAGGCATTCTGTCCCTGAGATTCCCAGTTAGTAGTGACAGACACCCTTATGACATTTGATAACACTTTGTTTTGGTCAATGTTTTCCCTCCCTGCTCATCTCCCCCATCATTTTAATCTGTCTCTCACCTGTACCCTTCTGCTCCCCACCCCCACACCATCTTTCTGTTTTCTTGTCACATGCATCCTCTCATCTTCCCCATCCTTTCCCTTAGCACTTTTTTTTCCCCCTTCTCTCATGGCCCGTTTCTAGTTTCATGAACTCTGTCCACAGCCACTCCCACATAAACACAAAAATATGATATAAAAGTTGGGAGCTAGGATCTGCATATGGCAGAGAACAACATGTAGGGTTTGTTTTGCTGAGCCTGAGCTACCTCAATTAACTTAACATTTTCCAGTTCTATGCATGGTCCTGCAAATTTCATATTCCTTTATGGAGGAATAAAACTATTACCCGGTCATCAAGTTATGGACACCTAAGCTGCCTTAACATCTCTGCAACTGTGACTAGAGCAGCTATTAATGGACATGCAGGCACTCTTGTGTTTGAACGTAGAGCCTTGTTCAAGCATTAATCGAGTGGCTTCACACAAGGTAGATCTAGTCTAGCTGCTTTTGTTTGTTTGTTTGTTCGTGGACTTTTCTGGTGGCTGCACTCATCCAACAGTGACAGATCCCTCTCGCTCACATCTTACTGGCACTGTTGTCATTTGTTTTCCTAGTGATTGTCGTTATGACTGGGTTGAGATGAAATCTCAAAGTAGCTTTAATTTGCATTTCCCTGATGGTTAAGGATGCTGAACATTAAAAAAAATGGCTATTCATATTCTTCTTTTAAGAACTGTCTGTTAAGTTCACCTGCCTATTTATTGGCTGTTGGTGGTGATGGTGGTGGTGGCGGTGGTGTGTGTGAAGTTTATTTTTGTAGTTTTTTTCTATATTCTAGATATTACAAAAATTTTAAGAAATTTTCAACACCAATACTTTCGAACTGCTCTACGAAATGCTAAATTTATCTTACAAAGCCAGATTGTCCTTACACCAAAACTGGTAGCAGTAAAAAACAAGCAACAGACTAATTTCTCTGTTGAACATGCGTGCAAAATTGAATGACAAAATAATTGCAGATCAAATTCAAGAACATGTTAAGGAAAGCATGCAACTTAACCAAGTTGGTTTCATTCCATGGATGCAAGGTTGATTGAATATAAAAACCAATAAATGTGATACACAATTAAAAAGCAAGGAAATTCTTGACCATCTTAACAGAATCAGAAAAGAAATCTGAAAAAGTCTAACATGGCTTCATGATAAATGTCTTAAAAAACCATGAATAGACTGAAAGTAACTGAACATAATGAGGGCTGTAAATGACAACCTATAGCCAACATTATACTAAAAGGGGGAAGGCTGGGTCATTTCCTTTAAAATCTTGAATGAGACACGGATGTCCACTCTCTCTAGTCTTATTCATTATGGTACTCAAAGTCTTAGCTATTTCAATAAGAAGAAAAAGATCTAAAAGAGATTTTTAAAAAGTTTGCAAGAGAAGTTCAAGTTTTTTAACTTGCAGATGGCATAACTTTATACATTAAGATTCTATCAGAAAAACTTTCAGCTCTAATAAACAATTTCACTAAAGTTGCAGGATACAAAATTGACATATGACAACCAATAGCCTTTTTTGTATACCAGTAATGAACTTGCTGGGGAAAATATTCAATTCACAACAAGTAAAAAAATTAAACTACCTGAGAACAAATCTAAGAAAGGAGGTGAAAGACCTCTACAAAGAAAACTGTAAGGCAATGAAGTGGGAAATTGAAGAAGACACTAGTGATGTAAAGACTTTCCACGTTCCTGTATTAGCAGAACTAGTGTTGTGCTCATGGGTAAATTACCTAAAGTAATTCACAGATTCAGTGCAATTTCTATCAATATTCCAATGACATTCTTCACAGATCTAGAATAAAAAAAAATATTGCAAAAATACATGTGGATATACAAGGACCATGGATAGCCAAAGCAATCCTAAGTAGAAAGTGCACATCATACTTTAAGAGATCATTTCCATAATTTGTTACTCAGGAAGAACACAACAGGAGGATTATAATATCCGGCCTTAAACTATACTATGGTGCTACAGTGACAAAGACGTCATAGTACCAGTACAAAAACAGACTCAGAACAACTGGAGAGGATTCAGAAACAAGCCCATACAGCTATCACTCCCAACTTTTTGGCAAGAGCATCACAAACACACCCTGGGGCTAGTGATGTCACTCGTCAGGTAAACATGTTTGCCATCAAGTCTCACACCCTGAGTTCAAACCCCAGAACCTACATGGTCTTAGCACAGAGCCAACTCATGCAAGTTGTCCTTTGACCTTTACATGCATGCCATAAATAAATGTATAAGAAATACATCCTGGAGAAAAAAAATAGCTTATTTAATAAATGGTGCTGGTAAATCTGGATATGCC